TCTGGAAAGTCCTTCTATGATGACCTTGCGAAAGTGTCATAGTGCGTGATAGTGCGTTATTATAGGTCCTTATAGACATGAAGATCTTGACCAAGGTCTTGTAGAGGTCCTTGTGAGAAGATCTTGTGAAGATCCTGGTGAAATCCTTTTAGAGGTCCTTGCATGAAGATCTTGAAAATGGCCTGCATTAGAGGTGCTTGTATGAAAGCTCTTCTGGGATGCTCTTAGGATATTCTTGTATGAAGATCTTGCAAGATCCTCTAGAAGGTTCTTCTTTGATGATCTTGTGAAATTCTCTTAGAGGTCCTGGTCAGTAGACATAGCGTTTTTTCTTGTGACAAAAACAACATGAAGTATATAAAACAAGTTCCTGCTGCTGTAGGTCCGAGAATGTTAAACCTGATCTGTTACTGTTTCCGTAGCTACTGCTGTTTGCATTACGCATCTCCTACATTAATTTTCAACCCCCCCCACACTGTTTGGGGTCTCTTGCAGGGGGAGTTTGTTTGTTCTTTATCTTCTGTGCTTCTTTCTGCTTGCCTCAATGCTCTCTGGCGGCTCTTCACAGCCTAAACGACCAGGATCCTGAAGTTTGTGAGGAAATGGTTGGAAATCAGCAGCAAGATGCAGCAAATCTTGTAATGAACGATATCAGCGATAATCAAAGCTGAACATTGCAAAACGATGTCAAAAACGATGTCAAAAACGACGTCAAAGGAAGTGGAATCATGTTGACCCTACGCACTCGACCAACTCAACCATTCTCAGCACCCCATCGCTCCTGAGGTTGCTCCTTCTTCTCTTCCCTGACAAGGCTTGAGAAATCTCGAGAAGTGCAGCTGGGTCTTCTAAGTACACTTGCCGTTGAGCAGAAAGAATCACAACTCCCGCAGATGCTCTGTTCATGACTAAAACATGCGCAGCACCTAAACTACCCGACCCCAGCCCTGAGTTACAGTATTGCGGCAAGAATAATTAGTGGCATGGCGTGACAAGGGCTAGGAGAAGTTCAAATAGAGCACGAAGTTGAGCAATGACAATGAGATGAGATAGGATGAATTCGGTAGTATGTTTTGAAGCAGGGTAGGACCTTCTTTGACATTGGCAGTTCAGAAATGTTGAGCAAGAAAGTACAAATTGAGTGATGGAGCCACTTTGATTCCAAGCAAAGCTTTACATTGTATTGAGGTTGCGGCTAAGACCGCCAGGAGACCATTGTGTTTTCCGGCGCAAGGAAACATATAACATGAGTCAGGAACCGAACTACCAACGGCTGCCATTACTGGATCGCTTACGGCCAACAACACTTGCCACAGTGAAAACAACTGTAAACAAGCCAGAAGACGACGTATCAGCAGTAAAACCTTAGAGTTGCCAAGACTCACATTGTTGAGGCTTCATAGGCTTGCTACGTGTAATTATATATGTACAGTATATGTATGTATGTATGTATATATATATGTATATATATATATCATTATATATACATATTATACATATATATATATATTTATATATATATATATATATCCGCGGAGCTGCTGGAACATGACTTGTCCACCATCTCTGACAAGCTGGATTTGCTTCTTGGGTCCCATCAAATACAATACATAGTCACTTTATTTTGGTCCGTGATGTTTCCCGCTATGAAAGGATCTGACTTGCACTTCATCACCAGTCCATTCTCAAACCGTTTTAGCTTTTCTTTCTTCTGGAGCGAGCGAATATATCCAAGACATCCAAAAGTTTCTTTGAAATTAAGCTGCACACGACTTGCAGACTCCTCCAGGGATTTCTGCTTGAGGGCCTTTTGCTTCCAACATGCACGAATCTCACTCCATAGTTCTAGGAGCCCGCTCTGTCTCCAAAATGCAAACAAACACGTCTAGATTCCCTTGCTCGGTCAAAAGATGTCAAAAGTCCGCTTTGGGATGCTTTGGCAGGTACTGCATGGAGACATGAGAGAACTGTGCACTCTCTGATTGGGTTTTGAATATTGTGTTGTATCTTGATGAAACGGTGGTGATCTTTGGGACATGTTTGTGAGTTGTATCTTGAGGTCTCCACGCAAAATGTCTCCTGCAGTGAAGCGGCTGCACGAGCTGCCTGCAAATCTGCACGACTTCAAGTCTTTGCACAAAGGATTACACTAGAATACAATTGGTATATTAACAGTAATTACATATACGCAATCATATGTAATTATGATATGTAATCTGTAATATTAAGTATTCCGTTGGCACTCTGATGTGAAGGCGCATGGATTTTCAGATTGGCATATTTTATGAAGGCCGCTCTTGGGGCAAAGGGCCGAAGGCAATGAAAGAACACGTGGACTTGCACGTGGACCTGCTGGAGCATTACTTAGACAGGCACATCACTGTCAAGTACAAACCTTGATTGATTGTTTGAACGCGCAGAATATGGTTTTGTATCTTTGCAAAAATATATGCAGGACCCTGCAGACATGACTCCCTTGACCACAGTACCGTACCAAGATGTAGCTCGACTCCTACTTTCTCGTACTTTCTCCTTGTTTCTAAAGCACGTGATCTGTTTGTACTGGTTTACTCTTGAGATCGTTTTGGTACCAAGGCACCTCTTCTGCTTCGGCTTCGGCACCATAGCCAATGCCTCAAAGTGAGTGGATGTCAAGATATCTCAAGCGCAGCGACAGGGAGACGTAGCGAGACTGACTCAGATCAAGTCACTTGACCAAGGGCTGTAGACTTCCATAAGTCGAAAGAACATCTTCCATAATGACAGAGGGATTGTTGAAACTTTAAAAACTGTTTGCAAACGATTATGTTTTGCAAAACGGGTCCAGAGTTAGAACGTCCAAAGGTTGTGCGAGTAAGTAGCTTTTGACAATTTTGGATTCTTTTGGACGTTGTATGTTTTAGGTTCAGCAACATTCAGCAACTATCCCCTCACCTGTAAGATCTGTAATGAGATTAGAGTGTGCCATCTGGCCTTGCCCTCCCACATGATGGGCGCTCTTTTCTCGTTCGGACATGGCTGGCTCATAAGCCAAGGCTATTCTGGCTCTAAGTGTAGGGTTCCCCATACTGTAGGTGTGGATACTGTGTGGATACTGTGTGGATACTGTGTGTATGCTGTAGTGTCCGGTATTATGGTTTTATTTTGAAAATATCAGGAGAACAACTATAGCAAACATAACCCACACCAGTTCAAAAAATACCAAGCTTTGAGTTGGCCGATGTTCAACCTGTTAGACTTTTGACGTGCGTTTCGGGTTCCAAAACACTTTCCAACAAGAAAACTAAATGCTACTAGATGCTACTAGTATCATTTCTGAGAAGACGTCGAAGATTTGCCTAATCAAAAATTGACAACAAACCTCCAAACAGACTTATGCATGTTGCAATCTCTGTGCTCTCATTGTAGGGATCCTGCGTCTCAAGGCCTCAAAATCCACACCCGTATCAGCCTCAGCTTTTCGCAGCGCAAAAATGGCAAAGATCTTCCGGCTTCTGCTGTTTTGGGTTACGCGTGGTTCCATTTTCATATTCAGGCAAGCAGCGGTGCGCAGTTTCTTGGCGTCCGGCTCAATTTTTCCTCCTGGAGCATCCACAAACCACATGTGAGCATCTCGACATCTCGACATCCCGCCTGCTGCCCTTGTGGTTTTCATTGTACTTTATCGCGCTTTAAGAATTGGCACCTTGACCTTGTTGCTAAGGAGAGACGAGTGTCGGAGCATGCAGCCAGCAACTGTAAATGGCGCATGCAAATGCATTGCATATAGTAAAGCTCGTGATCTATACAGAAACTGGTCCTTCTTGACCGTCTTTCTGCTCCTCTACGTCTGCCTTGTGAAAACATGATGCACACAAATTCAGCCGAAGCCCGTAAAACAAAATCCTTTGTGTCAGATAGTGAAATCAATTATATAAGAGAGGATCATTCACTTTCTTAAGAAACAGCAACCCAGCTGAGCTGTGTAATCCAACTCTCAGAACTGTATAAATCAAACAGTTTCAAACATCACTTTGCTTTGCCTTCATTTTTTCAGTCGCAGCATCTGGAATGAGTCCATTCGAATTCTTGGATCAGGGTTCAAAGAATATAATTACATATATGTAATTACAGTATACAATGTATCGAAATTTGCAAATGCAAACGCGACAACAAAGCAGGGACTTGCCAATAAACTATTAATATATATATATATATTCATATATAAATATATTATATATATATATTCATATATAAATAGAATACATACTAGTTATACTAGTTATATACTAGTGACTACTAGTTCATCTTGGAGGTTGCTGACCCTATTGAACATTTGATTCATTTGATCTGCGAGGTCATTAAGTGCTTCCACAGTGGCTTCGCCCTCATCATCAGACAGGAAAGCCAAAGGATCCATTGCAAATTGGGCAAAGTTTAATTGGCAGCCAAAAGAGTTATCAGCGTTCTTTCTTTGTGTATTCCCGAAAAGAACCATCAGGATTTTGGACTTGTACCATAATTCCCAGAGGGCCTCTTTTATGCCAATGAAAAAATCAATATATTCATGATTCATGACATCACTGAACATTGCTGCCACTCGCTCTGAACTCCAAAATGCTCGGCAAAACCATGGCAAAACAATGGTATTTATTTGCGGATATGGAAGTGACCCAGTTGAGGGTTTATTTTGGGTCTTGAAGTCACAAGTTGCTCTTGCATACTCGTGGTTTTGCATGTGTCGCACAGTCATGCTTGAGGATAATGGATTTGAGGTGATCTCTGCCTCTGCGTTATGGAAACTGGTCTCTTGAAGCTCTTCACCTCTTGAATGTTTGTCTCATTCATAGTCTTTGCATTTGGCAAGGCAATGAAAGCAACACAACACAAACAAAACATGTAAAGAAAATCAAAGAAGTACGCAAAGGAGAAAGGCAAACAACAACGAAATACGACAGGACCTACGACAGCATGCGCGGAAAGCCTGAGAAAGTGGACACTCAGAGCTGTCGGAACCAATCTTTTCCGGCCGCTCGCCGAACTCCTTCTTCAACCCAGCGAGTGAACTTTTCGAGGTCAATCTGCAAGTTCTCAAGTCTCCAGTAGGCATCTCTTGCCGTTGCCCTAGTAGCAGAGAACCTCTTGGCATCCTTTGTGGAGCAATGAAGTCAATGCGGCGATGCATGTACTAGGCTTCCGTCATTGGCCAGGTCACAAAGCATCGAGGTATATATATATATACATTAGATGCTAGATATTGCTAGACGATGTTCATTTGTTCCAATGTCCCCTTTCTCCACGCATTTGATCCGCAATCATGTGGATGAATCTCTTTCAGTCAGTAGGTCACAGCTTAGCAATGCAGCCGAGAGGCTGGCACCTGTGGCGGCTTAGGATCACTGCGCAAGCAGACATGATCTACTTGAGCTAGCCTGTCGCAGGTCGAAGCAACGAGCTGCGCTCTTGGGAAAACAGCACAGGAGACTCGACTACTTTGAATTAAGATGGATCAGGAATCAGGACATTTGCCATCATTTGCCAACCAAGAAAAAAGGGTTTATGTTTAGTCTCTATTCGTCTGCTACAAGCATACAAGCACTACAGACTTCTCCCTCAAGCTGTTTTATGTTGTTTTATTGTCGCAAAAGAGGAAACTCGCGCTATGTCGGGCCTGCCCAAGCCTCCGAACATGCCCAAATAGTCAGAATTCCATTCCTCACTGCAGCGGTACAAGCATGGCTGTACCCCTCGCGGAATCCTGAGGGTCAGTGCAAGCATTGCCAAGATTTGCCAAGGAAACCGTACAATGGGGAGTCGAGGTCAAGAGGAGGTCAAGACGCAAGGTGCACTGTGTCAATTTGTTCAGTTGAGCTGCCTCCAAAACCCACTAGAATCAGCGGAGTTGCTGAGAATATCGGCTTGGAATTGGGAGGCAAGGAGAATTGAAATTCAAAACGCATTCTTATAATTCTCTGGAGAATGGGTGTCCTTTCTTTTCCTTTGCAGAGCTGCTGCACATGGATACACAACTGGACAACCCCAATTTTCCCAAAGCGGGAAGTTTTGATTGAGTCGATATGTCCAAAAAATTGCGCTCTGCTATGCATCCCCCCATGACCCCATGATGTGCAGAGATTCAAGAAATCTCTGGAGGAAATATGATACATATGTGAAATCTACAGGGAAGGGAAACTTGAGTCAATGATGCACCAAATGTACCTATATATACCATTATATACCATTATATTATATAATATTATATATATATCTCTGCTGCAAGGATCTGTACAAGGACGACCCCAGGGAAACAGCTAGGGGAGGAATCCCGCAGATGAAAGCAGATTGTAAGGAGTACAGTACATGTCAGAAACAGAGTAGTCTTTGTTACAGGGTGACAAGTGATGCATGATTCCGTCATGATGGTCTGTCAGGTCCATCGGGATGCTTGACAGTATGGCAGGCATTGACAGGCCATATGACAACCGTACACTGTGAGGACCAGCAATCTGAGCGAAGTGCTGCATTCTCGAACCGTCTTAGAAGTCTTCATCTTCTCTCTTTGACTCTTCAGGTTACATCCGTAATCATCCGCACATCCTGTACATCCTACAGCAATTGATTCCTGCAATCTCAGGCGCCACTCCAAAACTTGACTGCCCGGCTTCATCAGTAGCATCCTTGGTCACAGCAATAAGGCAGCGGAAAGCACGTCTTTTAAAAACGTATTCGTGGTAGGTTCCCTTTGTCTGTAGTAAAAAAAGAGAAAGAAACGTGTCAAAATGAAGACCGTCGGCACCAAACTAATCACTGCTAAAACTGAGTTGCAGCATGCCGCAGCATGCCGCAGAATGCCGCAGCATGCCGCAGCATGCCGCAGCAGCACGCCGAAGCAATCAAGTATATCAAGATATATCAAGTATCAAGAATGTCCAAAAACTGTGTGTAAATTGGCCGCCTTGGACCAAGTGGCCATCCTAGTGCCGCGCCAACTGCGCCAACAAGGACATCAGCACTACGGAAGAATGCTGCCTGGAAAGGACTTGACTGGAGCAAGAAAAGTGAACATGAAAATTGAATAAGAAAACAACAAATCCCTTAAATTGAACGTTAACAAGATTTACAAGGGTGCACAATCGTCGTCTGACACATGAGGCATGCAAAATGTATAGAAATCCTTTTGTTCATTGAGGCAGTTCAAGATTCAAAACATATCGGAGTTTCCTCCGGGATGTTTGAGGTGCAAGTGGTGGGTTGCCATGGAGACACAGAGACAACATCCGTTTGATTCCGGTTGTTTATTCATTGTGATTTTTTGGCCTGTTGCAAGAGCGGTCTGTGTTCCAGGTCATCTAATGCTCTCCAAGCCTTGGGTGAGATTTGACATCAAGTCCAGCATCTTCTGGCTTGGAAGAAACAACAGCAGCAACAACAACCATGTCAGTGACGACGATGACAACGAGAACGAAAACGAAAACGACCACCACAACCACGACCACGACCACGAGCACGAGCACGAGCACGACCACCACCACCACAACCACCCACAACCACAACAACATCAGCAACATCAACTACAACAAGTACTCCTCCTCCTCCTCCTGTTGCTGCTACTACTACTACTGCTACGGCTACTGCTACTGCTGCTGCTGCTGCTACTGCTACTGCTACTACACCACCACTACAACCACTACCACTACCACTACCACTACCACTACCACGAGTACTACGAGTACTACGAGTACTACGAGTACTACGAGTACTACGAGTACTACGAGTACTACGAGTACTACGAGTACTACTACTACTACTACTACTCCTACTACTAATACTACTCTTACTACTACTACTGCTGCTGCTGCTGCTACCACCACCACTACTACTACTGCCACTACCACTACCACTACCACTACCACTACTACTACTACTACTATTACTACTACTACTACTACCACCACTACTACTACCACTACTACTGTTGCTGCTGCTACTACTACTACGACGACGACGACGACAACGACTATGACAACGACTACGACGACTACTGCAATTACCACTACTGCTACTCTTGATACTACTGCTACTGCTGCTGCTGCTGCTACCACCACCACTACTACCACTACCACCACCACCTCCACCACTGCAAATACCTCCACTACTGCCACAACTACCACCTACCACCTTCAAAGTAGCTGTTGACGTGCCTGCGAAACAAAATGATGATCATTACGATAGGAGCAAAACAAACTGACAAGATTAATACTTACACATAAAGAGCGGGAAGAGATGAGAATTAACGTGAAACTAAACAAAGATAACGAAAAACACTATATAATAGCAATTGAGGGAAATAAACTATTGTATGGTGGTCAGAACGATGCCGTATTCCAAAAAGTATGCCAACATATGCCAATCGCTGTTCTTTCTTTGGATACCTTCAATCAAGGTCCAAACCTCCTGCACGACGCACACAGAAGAGATCAAGTGCATCTGAGAAGCTATCTGCCCAGCCCCTGCCAAAGGCGACAGTGCTTGGGTCAGATTGGACCACGTCAGAAAGGCCCTACCGTGTGCAAATGATCGCTGAATAATGAGCACCGACACTGTTGCGCCAGCACCTGCCGCACACACAGACACAGACACACTCGGTTTGAAAGCTGCAAAAGAACAACACTGAAATCTGAACATCTTAAATCGTTTCCATCTGCGTTGGCAGAACATAGACATACAAGAACAACGCGTTGGCAATGCGCATGAATATGAACGAATAATATCGAATAATATAGGATCATCAGAAATTGTCAAACAACTGCAAAACGATGGAACCTGCTCCTCGCTGCTGAGATGACTGGGAGCCATAGATTGCTTTAGGCGGATCCAACCGCCAAAATTTTGCAGCCATGGCATCCTGATCGAACAATTTCTGCCAGACGCAGATTGATGGTTACAGTAGTATGATCAAACGTGCCCAAACCTTCAGGCATGATTTGGAATCGCAAGCTAGACTCAACGATGGAAATGATCACTATGGTACAATATGGTCTGAGAACATCTGCCCACAAAAACCGGCAATCTCACAATCTCACAGTATCATTCTTATCATCGGCATTATGATTACATTGTCATTGCTATCAGCCTCGTGTTCATCGTCATCGTCATCGCCGTCGTCATCATCATCATTATGACATTATGATAATAATTATTATTATCGTCATTATCATCACCATCATCAATGTTACATTGTGTTACATTGTCAATTCCTAGCTCTCATTCTCACTATGTTATTATATGTTATTATCATCTTAGTACTAGATGCACCAGTATGATGTCCTTGCGGTGTTCATCACGCCATCAGATTCCTCCACTTCCGCTCCGTTCAACCCATCTGAAACTTGAATATGCTAGAACGAAAAAAGATTATACTTGCATCCGAAAATAATTACAGTACCAGCTAACAGCTATAAGAAACCTACTCTTGTTGTGGAACGCGGAAATCTTATGCTTTACACAAACAAGCAAGAAAACAACCTTGGTCGAGCAAGGTTCCATCTCTTGGCCGTGCAGGTGATTCAGGGCATTCTTGAAGATCTCCACGTCTTTGATGCCAACGGCAGTGTCGTGCTTGAGTTCCCGATCTGCCCGCATCTCTGCATGACCTTGGAGTCAGTGGCGGAAGTGCACCCATCGATTGGCTGTTTTTGACATGACCATTTTTGAGCTGTGTTTTGGGGGGTTCGGATGGGGTGGGGGGGGGTGTTGATGCTACGCTGCTGAACTTCTCGTCACTACCAACAGATCCAAACCAGAAGCGATGCAAAGGAAGATTCGAGTATAAGACAATGGAAGACAGGTTGAGAGGGAAAGATCGGTCTGTTGCTGACACAGTGGCCGAGCTGTTTCAGCAGTCTGTTATGCCATAAGTTTCCGGCCCCAAAGCACATGCTTGAAGCAACGGCTCCGCAACGTGTGAAGCATCACCGGGGGCGACGAAGTTAAGAGCCGCAGCAAGGGTGCGTGCCTGGTGGTGAGTAGTGGTGAGCGGCTGCGAGTCTCTTCCCTCTCTCTCTCTCTCTCTCTGTCAGTCAGTCAGTCAGTCAGTCAGTCTGTCAGTCAGTCTGTCAGTCTGTCAGTCTGTCAGTCTGTCAGTCTGTCTGTCTGTCTCGCTCTCTTTGCAATGCAATCGTCTGCATCTGCGCATCTGCATGCAAGCACATTTCTCTGTATTACCTGTTTTACAGTGTCACCGCTTCGCGCATGCTATGGGCTGAGGGGTGATGACTTCACAAGAAACGCTTCATGCCGACACGTGCCTGACTACCCACTGCTCAAAGCGCTGCTTCTGCAACGCTCTCTCCAGCTCGATTTTCTCCTCTGGTCACAACATGTGGAAATTTAAGCAACGATCCACACACACACACACAGCCGCAATATCCCAATTTCATCCAATTTCAATGAATGCCAGATTTACATCAGCAAGTTGTTCTGAGGGGTCTGAGGGGTGAATCACGCCTAAGAATATGCCCTAGCATGCTTTAGCTGTCAATCTCAACCTGTCCGACATGCTAGCAAACTTTGAAGTAGCATAAAGTAATATAAAGTAGCTACCTTATTGCTCCTTGGGGAGATCCACCTGCAGTTCATCCTCGCGAAACTCATAACCATCAAACAGCAGAATGAGAAGCACATTGTCAGGGCTGACTGGGCGGAGAGATCTCTCGCCAGAAAGGCTGGCTTGTCTGCGGCCATGCACGCGCGCTGCCGCAGGAACAATCCAGTGCAGGTTGTGCCAGACGTTGTCACCGCTTTCAGGCAAGTTGAGAACCTGGCATGCTCAGCAAATAACTTTAACTTTGCCTGGCTTGCCTATACATGCCATTATAACGTATACATAAGTATACTATACATCTGTACAACGGAAATTTCACTTGGACAGAAAAAGGCTTATAGTTGCAAACAATTCACCTTCAAAATCCTTCAAATACCCTTCTAGGGAAGGTCTGGGAATCGTTATCTACAATCGACAGCTCTCAAACTATTTGAATTGCCCTCAAATATCCTCAATTACATGTCATCAACTATGCCAAACAAAAACCGGCGGGATGAGAATCTGCAGTCCGTAACTTTGCAGGCTGGCAATTTGTAACATTGTCTGAGGATGTCTGAGGCATTGTCTATCTTTTAGGAGCTTGTACGTGATGGCCAAGAAACAAATCCGACAGTCTCTCTATCGAATTCGAAGGAGGATTCACCTGATGTCTTGGCGGCGCAAACGTTCAGATGGTGCGGATATCAACACCTGCAAGGTCCAACCAAAAGCCAAAAGCCCAGAGCATTCATGCCATTTCATGCCATTTCATCCCCACCATTCTTTGTAATATCCCGGCAAACAATCACTGCAGGAGTTTAGAGACACGCCATATTTTGCTCCAGGTTTCGAGACTCCTACGATATCAAATCTTTATGATTCTTCATGGTCTTATAATCTATACATATATATATACTGTATATATATAAATACATCATCATATATACACATGTATTCATGGCTTTATGCCTCCCAACCCGCATGTTTCTATATGTTTCTGCACGGCTTGTCACTTAAATCATAAATCCAATCTGGTTCCAGTGGATTACTTCTTCCCAGTACAACTAGCATGTCATAGCATGCCATAGCATGCGGATACGATAAATGGAATAAAGTCATAAAGTATATATAAAGTTGCCATAAATTATTCATAAATCAACAATAAGTAGAATGTGTCCGCAAGATCTCTCCGAGGTAACTCTTCGAGGTAAGCCGCTGAAATCGCTGTGTTTGAGCTTGTGCCGATTTCGCCCTGTCTCAGAGCATGTCTGCAGCTGCTCCGGCAATCCAGGTGCTCTGCCTTGAGGTGCAGGAGCAAAACGCAAAAAGTACAGTTTGGTTTCGCTTCATGGACTCGTCAACAGTGTTATACTTGTATATACTTGTTATTACATGTTATTACTTGTTACATCTTGTTACACTATGACTATGTTAGAAGATGTCAGAAGGTGGTACAACTCAAGGAGGTTTATGCAAAGATATGCAAAGCAGGAGGATAATATACGATAATCATCGATGATCAAGAATGCTCAAAGCAACATGCAGGCCTGGACTTTCCAAATTGTTGTGGAAGGATTGCTGACTTTTCCTGTCTGGCAATTTTGTATGTATATAAGTGTATATAAATATTTGGACAAATTCATTGCCAAGCTTCGAACCGTGACTACGCCGTTCGCAATGCACACATCTGACAAATCGAAGATGCATTCAACCTGTCAGGCTGCGCAAGTTGCATCATGTTGCTGGTCTTTTGCGAGCTGATGTCATGGCAGCAAGTACCAACTGTCTCTGGATATGTTACAGTCACATTAGTTCTTTTGCGTTTAAATCTCTCCACATGTTTCATACACGTTCTCCATTTTTCTCCACAGGTGGCTCCTTTGCGCCATGCTGCTGAAGTGGTGAGGGTTTCCAAAGAAGGTGTCCCAGGGCTTCATTGCTCAACTTCTCGGGGCAGCCATGTTCTTCCAGCTGTTCACCGAATCCTCACGATCAGGAAATATCAGGACTTTAGGATGTGGGATACATGTGGATACCTGTGGATACACACCTGGCATGCAAAGAAAGGTGCTATGATGTGTTATGATGTGCTATGAGTTCATGTTTGCATAATTGTATATAGCTGCATGTACATACTGAAACTGAGATTCATTGCACTAGATTACATCACATCAATTCACGTAACATTGCATATGTAAAGCAAACAATTATGCACCTAAGCATCCTGATATTTTTGGTGACACGAACTCAAGCATGTTGAGAGCCACATGAAACGTACCAGAAGTTGACTGTTGAAGACAGTTCAGTTCATCAAGAAGTGATAGAGTTGGACAGACTTGGACTGTAAGTCCAACAGTTGGAAGTTAACACTTGGGAGAGACACACCGACAGACTATGATAGAATTTGGTGAGTACAACCGATAGCAATTGGTCCCAAGCTTGTCTTTCCCTTTAGGGCTTTGCAAAGAACCCCCCAGCTTCACACAATTTGAATAACCACACATAAACGGTAAAGTCGCAAGGTGTAAGAACATGCACATTTTTTTCTTGCTATCTTTTTCCAGTGGCAACAGCAACGGCAAGGACAGAGCATTGGCAGCTTTCAAGTCTTTAATCACAGGTGAAACCATTTCTGCCACTTGCCAACATCTTCAGGTGTCCCCTGATTCCATTAACCATGGAAATGGATGAAATGGACAACAACTCCACATGGATAGGGAGGCCTCGGTACCTTTTTGCATTTTTCAATCGGTGTGTGTTGCCTCACTTGACTGGACATCGGTTGCAAACTCTTTGCAAAGCCACAGTGGCAACACTACGGGCAATCGCAATCGCGGGAACCTGTTCAAAGATGACATGTGTGCACATAGACTACATTATAGACTACTCTGTTGTGGATTATAAGGTGCAGTAATTATAAGGTATTGGTGATTATTTTTGGAGCCGTGAAAGTAGTGAAAATCTGAAACCCTTTTCCAAGTCAGACCATCCTTCGGTGAGAGAACTCATGGACACTCATAAACAAACGTCCAGCTCAGGCAGAGACTACGGAATGTCAAAATGATAGGTAGCTCCTTCTACAAGTAGTTGTTTCATGTTGCGTGTCTTTCCTTTGAACATCGACACATTGGTTGCACGTAGTCCAAATTGAACAAAGTGGCTGTTCATTGCATGGCACGCCACGTTGCCAGCTCGCCAATTTTGAGCCAAGCGCGCAAAGTTGTACTGGACATCCGCCTTCCCGAAAGGCACTCAAAGAATTGTACCACATTATGCCGAATGTAACCGAAATTAAGCGAATATACAAATATATATTATATAGGCTCAAGGCTGGGGGTTCCCTGGAGCTTCCAGGAACCCTCAGTCTTGAGCCTATACTATAAACGTCGTTATGGTATAGAGATGGGGGGTGGGGGGGATGGGGGGGGGTGTAATAACGTCATGTGGAGCGCGTTGGATTGAGAGTTGTGGAAACCTTGAGGATGTTTCTTCGTTGAAGATGTTGTTGCGTTGCAAGTATCGTTGTTGTTTGCAGAAGGGGGGTGTGGGGGTGGGGTGTGTAATAACGTCATGTGGAGTGCGTTGGATTGAGAGTTGTGGAAACCTTGAGGATGTTGCTTCGTTGAAGATGTTGTTACGTTGCAGAAGACCAATGGTGCTCTCGCTCCAAGCAACTGCTTCAAAAAGCCTTTGTGGACGTGAAGATGAAAAAGGTGTGATGTTCATTTCGTCCATGGTTCTCCAGTGAATTATGACATGTTCTAATTATCAACAAAACGACCAAAAATGCATGAAACCGTAATTCCAATGGTTAGAATGTTGCACACATGCTTGGCCATCCATGGAAGATGTAAATTTATCATTTTTCTGCGCGGACAAAGGTCAAGTTTATCCGCGCCGACATTGAAACTTTGGCTGATCGAACACTTTCAGAGAAAGGCATAAAAACACTGTAAAACACAGTGTAAAATCAACATTTTCCATATTCATACAAATAAATGCAATTGGCTTCCGGGGAATGCCCAGCCTTCACCCTATATATATTATATTATATATTATATATTATATATTATATATTATAGATTATATATTATATATTAAATATTATATATTATATATTATATAATATATGGGAACTGATCAAAATTCCTTCGCAAATAATTATGCTATGTTATACCGAAGCTCAGATTTGGTCCGGCCTCACATGCTCACCAAATGTCGCCACAAATTACCATGGTCAGCTACTATCCGCGACTGATCTCGTATGTCCCCGCGAAACCCGTGATTTTTAGGTGCACGCCATACTCCATCGCGTTGCATCTGGGCTGCTTGATCATAGTCCAATGCTGGCATATACTATCAACATAGCATTAGCATTGACTAAACATCTTGAAAAAAATGCAAACAGGAACGAGGGTGAAGAGGGTGAACAGGGTGAACATCAACAAAGCTATGAACCCACTGACTATGACTATGAATGGCCCATACATACCCATCTCATTCCACACCCAAATCAGCTTTGTCAAACACAAATCCTCTGCCTTGGTGAACGGCCAGGCAGTGTCCTCCAGACAGGTGTCGCTGAGGGTGAGTAATTTCACCTTGGATCTGAGAAACGCGGCACACACACAACGAACTCTGAATTTCTCCTGCTGTAATTTTACAACATCGGCCACGTCTGTGTTGAAAATGGCCCTCGCTGTCACAATGCGTCACAATGTCTGTTGCATCCTAGGCCCCTTCACAAATGTTCCATGGCTCAAATCCCCCTTACCGCTAGAAAGCTGACATAAGCTGACTATGAATCTTAAATAATCTTAATATACGTAAATATAATGGGCTTGTGACTTCTCGTGTGCCCTTTTGCCCTTGTTTCCCAAGCCAAGCAGCCATCATCTCAGCAGTGTTGAGGCTCCCCACAACCTTACCAGCCAGCAGCCAGCGCTGCAAGCATATGATGTTTTCCATCAAGGCACCTGTGACATTGCAAAATCATGCAAAATTCAGGCAACTTGCGACCACTGATGCGGATACAATAACAGTCCAGCTGTTCTACACATAGCTCATTAAGAATCACAGAATCTGAGTATATCATTCTAAGGTATCATAAAGTGAGAGTCACAGTCTCAATGTCTTAGAGCCTAGAAAAATATAGGCTACAAGGCAAGGGACTGAAGGGTCCGAATCCAAAGAGAAACTTCTTTGACTTTTATATTTGGCTTCTGATGCGTCTGGCTCACATCTGGCTCACAAATGCTCACTGTCGCCTGGAAGACATGCAGAGTGCTTTGCGTACGATGAAAAAATCCGTTGGAAGTCCTTCTCCAACCATTCCTCACAATGCTCTGCTGCCTGACACCACTCCAGGTCATGAAAGGCAGGACTCAAAGAGAATCCAATTAAGTCAAACATAGTTCAAACATATAGTCAAACTGATGACTCCGACTGGGCATTTTCTGCAGCTGTTTAGGTTGAAGGAGTTTGGAAAGCAACTGCAAGAGTAAAACAGATGAAAAAAATCTGGTTGCAGTTGCACCGCCAAAAGTTTAACCCGTAAAATATTCCAGTGCATCTAGATGCATCTAGACAGTGGTCCCTCATTACAACTAATCATGTGTCTTGCTCGAGTTGCTTTTTCCCATCCTTTCTAACCCTTTCCATTTTGCATCAGCTTCTCATATTTCGCCTCAACCATTCTTCGAATTTCACTGCTTTTGCGCTGTAGCCGGCCATGCAAGTCTCCACGGCCTTTCAGAAAACGTCAGAATGCGTGTACCAACTGAAACCAAAAAACGAAAATGCACGCCTGCAAGAATGCACAAAAGGTAAAGATAGAACAAACAAAGCGAACAAACAAACTACATAACTAGCCATGTTAAGAATAAGAAGCGTTTGGTTTGGGCTTGAGCTACTCCAGGTAGTCCTTCAGACTTGTCAAACGCTTCTATTTCAAAACAACATTCAATCAATCACTTTTACAGGTCTTTTGCAAGTCCTCATGCCACCTGTCTGCTTTCAAAATTATGTATCAGGCGAAGCATTTGTTTTGGTTTTCCCTGAGCCACTTTCAGCCGTTTTCCATCTTTCCTGCGAGTGAAAAAGGCCTTAGTAGACTTAAATGAAACAGAATGGACAGGCTTGAGCTTGCATAGTCCAAGGATGCAAAGGAGAGACTTTTGAAGTCAATGTGCTCAATTCAAACCAACACGCCTGGGTTTTGCACTATATATACAGACTCATCTCTGTCGCAGCGCAAATGTGACTGGCCTATGTGCAAGGTCTCAAAAAGGGCATGCATAGTTGTGTAGTAATCGTAGGCTTCCACACAAGCGCAATAATCCCTTTCGCGCCATATTACCTTGAGCCATCTGGGGCTTGCGGACGCTGCAAACAGCACGACAGGATTTAGGATGCACTGCACAGCGCCCGACTAGATGTTCCAACGTGTAATCTCTGTACGTGATCACTTATTCTTTGCATCCTGTGGTTCGCATACTTGAAAACAAGAAGAAACCGCCTTTCAATAGAGTAAGAATGCATTGGACAAGCAAACATTGCCAGACGATCAATCTTAGGAGTGCAGCTTGATTACCGCAAGCTGTCTGGGCTCCACTTTCACCTTTCTAACACCCGATCTCTATCAATCTCTGTCAGCAAAAGAGTTGAGAGGGAGAATCAACAGGACTGTTGTTAGATCTGTTGATAGATCTCTGCATGTTGATGCATGTTGATGTCTTGTCTCCAAGGAGCCCTCCACAAAGCGCCAAAAAGGAACCACACGCGGCCCTCGTGCTGTTCGATCGGCCAACCGCGGAAGACATCCTCTGCAGTCACATTCGCATGGCTCGAGTACGCATCAACCAGCCCGTACCTTTCAGCAATGTTGGATCATGTTGGATCATGCATATCACATCCACCATGGACCATGGCATCCATAAGCCTCTGCAACGAGTGAAGGTAAGCTGAAGCCAGACACTCATTCAATAGATTGGACCCTCATTCAAACCCTTTCGAACCTGTACTGACACCAACAAAAAGGTGTCAACACTCCGTGATTTCAGGTGGTCAAACATGGCTCAACCTCTTCTACCAGGGAGCTGGATTCACAAACCCTGAGTCCGACGCGTTTCTGTATAATCAAGCCTGCTTGCAATGAGACAATATACGCTAGCTCCTTTGCCACACATTTCAAGTCGGCAATACAATCTTGCATACAAGGCATCGTATGTCCCAAGAGTCACACAAACCCCCTTGGGCACATGGGGGTTTTCCATGGTGTCTCAGTGGTCTGCAGCAAAGGAGCTTCAAGAGCAAATAGTAGATGAACACATCGAACATGAAGGGGGTGGTCATTCTGCATGCGTGGACTAACTCTTGTGAACAGGTTGACCGCAAATGCTGCAAAAGACCTGCAGCAGGAAGGCAGAATACACTTTAAGAACAACCTGCTCTATGTTTACATGTGTACTGGCAATTACATACAGTTCCACTTTGGATGCCCACTGTCGATTGTGTTTATCTTCGCTTCTTCACTACGAACATATGCATAGTTTTTTTTCTCACATGAATGTTTGTTCTAGTTTCAAGCGTTTTATATGGTTGACCGCATTATGTTGGTATGCAACATATGCATCAATATGTGTTTGGCATCTCTTCCATTGACCAAATATAGCCCCCCCCGTGAGGGCGCTATCCATGATATACCTAACATACATTACATTACATTACATTACATTACACTACACTACACTACATTACATTACATACATTACATTACATTACATTTCACTACACTACACTACATTACATTACATTACATACATTACATTACATACATACATAGCAAAACAAAACATAACAAAACATAACATAACATAACAGTACATTACATTACATACATACAAAACATAACATAACAAAACATAGCATAACATAACATTACATTACATTACATGCATTACAATACATGCAATACAAAAAATACAATAAATACAATAAATACATACATACATACATACTTACTTACATTACATTACGTTACATTACATTACATTACATGCATACATATGTACATGTATGTAACATAAAAACACATAACATACCATAACAAACCATACCATACCAACATACCAACATACCAACATACATACATACCAACATACCAACATACATACATACATCCATCCGTCCATCCATCCATCCATGCATACAAACATGCATACATACATACATAACATATATTTACTTACATACATACATACATACATACATAACATATATTTACTTATATACATACATACATAACATATATTTACATACATTACGTTACATTACATTACATTACATTACATTACATTACTTTACATTACATTACATTACATACATCACATACATTACATGCAGTACATATTTTAGATATTTTACTTTTTTACATACATTACATACCATACCATACCATACAGTACAGTACAATACAATACAATACACTACAATACAATACAATACAATAATACCATACCATACAATACCATACAATACAATACAATACAAAAACAAAAAAAACAACAATAACATAAACATTACATTACATTACATACATACATGACAAACATACATACATATGCATGGATGCATGCATGCACGCATACATGCATACATGCATAGATACATAGTCACAAAGATACATAGATACTTAGATACATACATATAGACATACAGACAAACAAACACACATAGATACATACAACATAATTGCAAGCAAACAAACAAACATTACATTACATGACATGACATGGCATGACATGACATTACATTAATTACATTACATTACATTACTTTACATTGCATTACATTACATTGCATTACCTTACATTACGCATGCATGCATGCACGCATACATGCATATGCATAGATACAAAGATACATAGATACATGCATACATAGATACAGAGATACATACATACAGACACGCAAAAAGACAGACAAACATACAAACATACAAACATACAAACAAACAAACATACATACATACATACATACAAATATACATACATACATACATACATACAGACAGACATACATACATACAGGCATACACACACATACATACGTACATACGTACATACACACATACACACATACATACATACATACACACATACATACATACACACACACTAACATAACATAACATAACATAATAAAATATATTTTAATATAATATAACATAACATAACATAACTAACGTACATACATACATTAAATACATAAATTGCATCCATTACATACATTACATACATGACATACATTACATTACATTACATTACATACATACATACATACATACTTACATGCATTACATACACACATTACAATACATTACACTACATAACATTACATTACATAACAGAACAGAACAAAACAAAACAAAACATACATACATACATGCATACATTACATTACATTACATTGCATTACATTACATTACATTAGATTATATTACGTTACATGACATTACATTAGATTATATTACGTTACATTACATTACATTACATACATACATACATGCATGCATAACATACATACATACATACATGCATACATACATACATACATACAGACATACACACATACATACATACATACATACATAATGATATACTGTATATATAGATACAGATATAGATATAGATTTAGATGTAGATATTTAAATTGATATCATACACACCAATCATGCATCTGCGTGGATTTATTTATATATATATATTACATGTATATACTAAAATGTATGTACGTAAAACACACGTAGCCACATAGTCATACATATACAATCATATACAATCATACACATACGTACACCTACTCAAACATATGACATTCCGATGCTACTATATTCCAATTCCACTGCAGCCCTCTTGATGTGATTAGGTGCGGCCCTACTGGGATGGAGTCATCGTACTGGATTGGGCTGGCATGCCAAATCAATTATGTTTTGATTGAGAAGAAACATAACCAAAAGGACCTAAAAACATAACTAATACAATGAAACCATGTTCCGTTTGACAGCGTGAAGCAACATTGGCCTTCGAGCTTCGCAGCTGTTGCCTGCAGAACAGCTTGAGGGCAGCCAACGATGTAGTCCGAGTAGGCGTTATAGATCTTCAAGAGAGATGGTACCTGTCCCAACCGATTCCCGTTGTTGGACATACCAACAAAGAAGGACAAAGAATGTGAGAGAGAGAGAGAGGGAGAGGGCAAGAGGGAGAGGGTGAGAGGAGGGCGAGGGCGAGGAAGAGGAGGAGAAAGATCCGCTTGCGGCTGTATTTCACGTCAATTCCATTAGGTGTCCCGTTTCAAGCATACAAGCGATGTACAATGTTACAAGAGATGTACAATGACGTACAACTGCAAATATTGCAAAGTGTAAAGCACAATGTGCGCCTCCAATTCCACCTTTGCCTCTACATCCAGCTGCGCATCTTGGAGTGCATGGATCACTTCCCTCTTTGCTGAAGCTGCAGCACCGCATTGATCTCACAGGCAGTTGAGCACACAGTGTTCGTCCATGGATCACAAAACAAGGCGAGGAATGACAACATACCGTACGCATCCGGCGTATGTATCTGCAGTATCCCTATGTTCTGGACAAGGCCACATACCAAGAGGAAGTAAGAGTTTGTACGAGTATCTGGCATATGTACCATGCGTGACACATCTTTAACCCATGAGGATGGCAAAAAGAGTCAAGATTAGGCTGCAACAAAAATAACATCAACCCAGATCATTGATTTTTGTACCCCACCCCGCCGTGTTTCAACAGCAAATGTTGTCGGAGGCTTTCTTGTAAAGATCCAGCTATATGTGGGAGATTCTCGTTGAAGAGAACTGCAGTGCCCAGGGCAGGATGCGCTTCCGCCGGCTGCATTTTGACAAAGCTCTCCGCACTTGCCACGAACGTGTTGGCATCATGTCTAGATGGTGTGCTAAATGGCAATGGGGAATGCGAGTTGTTTCAGATCCCAAATGCTACTGCTACATGTTGCTCCACTGGGTGCTGAAGGACAAATATCCACAACAGCGCCTATGCATGTTTCTTTTCTACTCCAACCCTCCTGCAATATCTACAAGCCTCTCTGATTCCGTGTTTATATTGTCGAGGGTGGAAACAACAAAGTGTTGCAAATAGATGCCAATAGCAGGGGGGTTGACAGCTATGCACGTGTCTCTGTCTCTCTCAAAATATCTCAAATGCCACTCTTTCACACCTAGGCCCTAGGCAAAGTTTCAAAGGAAAACAGCAGCGGGTCCAAAGGAAGAATTGCGAGGCACATCTGATCATTGCAGGATGTTGCTGGATCGCTCAAAACCGGTGCAAGATTGGTTGAATGGTCTAGCTCTTTCTACCTGTTGCATCCTGTTGTACGTTTTTTGTCAAAGAAACGACGAACGCAGACCAACACCGCGCAGCATTCACACGTTTTTTCTCGTCGATGGCACTTTGTCCACGCCGATACACTTTGATCCATCTGTGGGCAGCACGTCATCCAGTTGAATCTGGCAGTGGTTGGTCGCGGGGGTTGGTAGCCTGCAGGAGTCGTGGATTTCGCACTGGGTTTCTTCAGTAGTGGTAGTGGGGATTAGTTTTTTGCTGATGTGGTGATCTTGGACAATCGAGATACAAAGCCATGTTGATTGTCCTCCGGACTCTCCACAAAGAACAAACACACTTGGCAAAATTCATCCAAACATCTCCTTTTTTCATTTTTACAGACCGCCCTGTGGCACCTTGGAGCATGAGCACACCCAGAATACTTAGCAGATTTAGCATTTCAAGGACACTCTGTTATCATTCTGCCATACAGAGCCATACAGTATGTATGCAATTACAAATAATACAAGCTGGAACGCAGCTGCAGGATTGCGGCTGCTCCTCCGGAAGCAAAGGATGGCCCTCGATTTTCTCCAGGAACCTCCCAGGCTCCCAGGACCAAAGTGGCAGCTGATCAGGCTGACCAGCGGTGCCCAAACAGAGTCCAACTAGCATTGCACGAACCAAGTCACACATCACAGTCTGCACTGTCTACAGTTTTGCGATGTCTTGCATATATACATGTATATATATAAATAAATAAATATATATTATATATATATATACATACATTCATTAAAAAAAAGAGGGGGTCAAGCCAGGGGGGGTTAAGCCAGGAGTGGTTTCTTTACTGTGGCATTATAATAAAAAAGAGAAAAAATAAGAAAAAAAGAGGAAAAAAGAGAAAAAATAAGAAAAACTAAGTTTTTAAAAGGGTCTTAGCAAAAGGGTGAAGAGCAAAAATAGACACGTTTTTGCCGTGGATTGGAAATTGAGTTTAATATCAGAACTTATAAACTAGGTAATATCCTGTATGTAATGTGATATATGACAAATTTAAACCAGCTATTAAATATGCCATAGGGTTTAAGAAATATCATTTTTAAAATTGACTCAATTGTGAATGATTCAATGGGACACTGACAATGTTAAAGTTGACAAACGACACTGCGGCAAGACGATCATTTTTTTTACTTTACCTGAGTCGTCGTCAGTGAGTGAGTGGTCGAAGTGTCAGTGCCAGCTCAGTGTTCACAGTGCTGACTGACCAGGTCCATCTTGTCGATTCGCGAAATCAATCAACCAATGAATGAATGACAATGACTTGACTTACTATTTATTATTATTTAAAATAGCAGGCTAATGAATCATTTTAATTAAGAATCGACAACATGAATGAGATACATTCAAAGGCAAACGCAGTGATTATCTGGTGCATCAGTGCACACAGGCACATCAGCACACACTTGCACTGCCAGTACTACGACATTACGGCCTTTTCTGCATAGTAAGCCTGGAGCAAATGACTTCAGGGAGGGCAGCTAGTGTCAGCCGCGGAGTCATCTTCGGTAGTAGTTGGTTGCTCTCTTGTTTTCATAAACTGCAGCTGCTGCGCTATCACTATTCGTTCTATTGTGTTCGCAAAGGCTTCCACACGCATACGAAGGCTGCGAAGACAGAGGCAAGCACTGCGCAGTGTGCGTATATCCTGGTCAACAAGGATACCATTCATTTCTCTTCTCTGCAGGGATGCCATAGTTTGTTCTAGTGACTGTTGTGCCAGGGAGATGTCACGGACATCTTCTTGCAGAAGAAGGAGGTTGTATGCTTCACTGCCACTCGTTGGTGTTTGCAGCAGATGTCGTGTCGGGTCTTCCTGTTCGTCAGCTTCCATACTGGTCTGGCTCGAAAGCTGCGATTCGTCCAGCTGAGTTGTCATGAGGACCAATCAAAAGGAATACTAATCTTAGCCGAGCCTAACTAAATTTAAATCTTGGGCAAAAAGTTCCTGCAGGTGTAACAGTTTAACCTAACGTAACATGAATGAAGAAAATAACAATGAATTATTCAGGACCATCATGCTGTAAAACATACAGCAACTAGCCGGAATCAGTTAAGTTATTGCCATCGAATCTGATTGGCTTATCAAATTACCAGACAAATAAATGATCATTGTGATCAAAAACAAAAATGAGATGTCCAAGAATCAATAGTAGCAAGCCCCAGCAATCGTCATTTTTCCCTAGCTTCGCCAATCATCATCAATCAGCACACAGTTGTCAGTGCCCAGGTGGCTGAACATCAGTGCACACAGTGGCGGCACATCAGTTCACACGGTGGAACAATAAATTACATCAGAGCACACAGTTGGCACATCAGTTCACAAGGTGGAACATCAGTGCACAAGGCCAATGAGTGCACCAGGTGGGTGGCACATGACTAATTAACAGGCAATTTCATTGCCTGGTCCACTGGTTCTGATTGATTATTTTGTTTCAATCAAATTAATTAAGTTCAGTTCAATTCAAACAAAATTGACCAGCTTCGCCAAATCAAGAGACAGAGACCTGAGTGAGTGAAACCAGCAAGAGTCTACTTACAAGAACCAAATCGGCGTCTCTCCGAAGCCTTACCATATAAGCTCCGCAGAGAGTCAAATGTGGTTCTCGCCAAATGAGCTCTAACCATTATGTTACAATGTCCTCTCAGGCTTGAGAGAGTCAGTGAGGCGGGTCAGTGCATTGTTTCAAATCATTTAATTTAAGCAGAAGTCCAGTGAAGCTAGTTCGACTGACTCGGCTCCTGAATGAACTGAATCACTTCCTGAAGCGACAGGTCGTCGTCTTCGTTGGGATCATCGTCATCACAAAAATTGTCGCATATTGAAACCATTTCCCAAAAGATGGCACGCATTTCAAACTTAACTTCTTCAAATGGACTGTTATTGATCACCCTGACCAGGTTGTTACCAGTCAGCTTTGAAATCGAAAGCATGCACTTGCAACGCAACTTTGAATAAGCTTTGGCAAGGTCCTGCTTGGCGACCCTCGACTTAATTTGCCAAACCCAACTCGTCACATCGTTGTGGATCTGAGTCACACATTGTATGTCCTGGTCGGTTGACCACCCTTTTTGTTCCAGTTCCTGCAACAAGGCTTTCCAGGTCTTGAATCTTGTTACTGTCGACTTCTTCATCTGAAATTCAGACACAAATTGCTTTCTCACTCCTACGACGGCCTCATGCCAAGCATAGAAGTGATTTGCTGGCCGCATAACAGGATCAAACTCAAACTGTGACAGTGAAAGCATCGCTTGATCCATCAATGCTAATTCAAACAAAACGTCGTCCATTGCCTTCTGAATCTGAAATGCCTGAGTTGTAACTCCGTGAGATCTCACAGTCGATGATGAGCTGCTTGAGTTTGAAGCCCCTGCAACTAGTGATTGAGCATCATTCTGTCCTTTCGCATCATCACTTTCAGAGATCGCTCTATAAATAGTGTATCTCAACATCTGGGATATTTTGTCGGGCCATCCATTGTACGCATCAGTTGGCGTAGGCAAATCCGTCATCTGCTGCGACGTAAGTCAGACAGAGTCCCTTCGTTTCAATTGACATGATGATTCATGATGATGCCGCGGTTTAATTAATTTAATTGATTCTTGATTTCACAGAGGTAGGATAAAATTCACCGCATCATGAGTCAATTGGAGGACCTGATGAAAAAATGTTTTGATTTTGTTCCAATGAATCAAATCAAAAATCCAAAAGTGCAAAGCATTAAACAGTCTACAAATGAGTCCAATGACCTACTAAATTATTGTGACTTGAGCCAGGGTTGAAAGCTCTATTAGTGAAAGAGTGCACTCTGTTACTGTTTGAGATTGAACAAGTGCTTGCCCAAGGTTGAACCAATCAAACACTAACTGGCCTGGATTCAATGACAATGGATTCATTTGTCAGTTTGAAGTTTGTCAGCCATGACGCAAACCTGAATGATTTACCAAACAAATGACTATGGCCCTTCAAAACGAAATGTGCCTGATTTGCAAGCCACAGTGCTCATTTTCCAGCTTCACCAATCAATGAATGAATCAAATCAGCACACAGCTGGCTGACAGACGCCCAATGGATGTCAGAAATCCGGTGTGACCTGTGAGACATTAGAGTCCAGCTCACGATCAATCAATCAATCAATCAATTAATTAATGAATCAATCTGAGTCACCCGCTATTTAGCCATTCCGTTCAAAATGAATCAATGAGCCACTCATTGATGGAGTAGAAATTATTATCTATATGTTGGACTGAAACAATAAACCGTTGAAAATACTCTACTATAGAGAGAGAATAATCCGCCAAACATGACTGACTGTCAGCTGTCACAGTGTCACAGGTGAAAGTAATGAATCAGTCAATAAAAATCACAGTCACAGCAGTGATCCGTTTAATGCAACAACTTAGTCGAGTCAAACCAAATTGTCATTCATCAGTCAGTGCTTAGTATACGGCCGAGGTGAGCAGCGTGTACCGTGCCATAAATTGAACTGGAAGAATCTTCCA